TTGAATCATGAAGAAATAGAAAATATGAATGAACCAATAATTAGTAAGGAGAATGAATCAGTAATCAAAAACCTCTCAACAAAGAAAAGCCCAGGACCAGATGGCTTCACAGGAGAATTATACCAAACATTTAAAGGAGAAAATTAATGTGAATTATTCTCAATCTCTTTCAAAAAAAAATTGAAGAGGAGGGAACACTTTCAAATTCATTTTAGGAAGTCAGCATTGCCCTCATACCAAAACCGAATAAGGACACTACAAAAAAATAAAATTGCAGGCCAACATCCCTGATGAAGAAAGATGCAAAAATCCGCAACAAAATACCAGCAAACTGAATTTAATAGCACATTAAGAGTCATACACATGATCAAGTGGAAGTTATCCCTGGGATGCAAGGATGGTTCAATTTATGCAAATCAATAAATGTGATATTCCACATAAATAGAATGAAAATGATGAAATAGATGCAGAGAAAGCACTTCACAAAATTCAACATCCTTTCATGATAAATTCTCTCAACAAATCAGCTATAGAAAGAATGTACCTCAACATAATAAAGGCTATATATGACAAGCCCACAGCCAGCATCACACTCAGCGGTGAGAAGCTGAAAGTTTTTCCTCTGCAATCAGGAAGAAAACAAGGGTTCCCACTTCTATTCAACATAGTACTGGAAGTCCTAGCCAGAGGAATTAGGGAAGAAAAATAAATAAATAAAAGGCATCCAAATTGGAAATGAAGAATTTAATTGTCTCTGCAGATGACATAATCTTAAATATAGAAAGCTCTAAAGACTCCATCGAAAAACTATTACAACTAATAAACAAATTCAGTAAAATTACAGGATACAAAATCAACATGCAAAAATCAGTTGTGTTTCTATACAACAATGAACTGTCCAAAAAAAAGAAGTTAAGAAGATGAACCCATTAACAACAGCATGAAAAAAATAAAATACATAGAAATACATTTAACCAATGAGGTAAAAGATCTGAACATTGAAAACTATAAGACATTGATGAAAGAAATTAAAGACAACACACATA